GCCAGTGGCTTGAGGTTTCTGTAGCAGTGTTTATTTTACAGGATGGGGTTGCTAGCCTCATGCCCAACCTTTCCTCTCCACCCGTATTATTTCTGGCTCAGCGAGGTAAAGGAGTGCGTCGGCCGGGTCTTGAACCCAGGACCATGTGCATGGTCGGCAAGCGTTCTAACCAACATGCCACCGACGCACATATATATGTATATATATATCATAAAACCAATAACTCTTCTGAATTAGTGGATCCTACAAGTGGAACTCATGCAAATTCTATTGAAGGATTCTGGAATTATCAGAACTCTAAATGTTTCTTGAAATGATATGATACACAGTCACTTAGATGAATTTTTGTATCGACATTAGTTTGATATGTCTACAGACACTTCTGTGAGAAACTAGGACCGATTTTTCCAGCATATTAGAAGTATGTACCTCGTATTATTCATTTCTATTACACATATATATCCTGTAAATACACCTTTTTAATACAATTTAATGCCACCTTTCACCTACAAGAGTCTGACTGGTTGGTTCAAGGTCATTAGAATTTTGGTGTCTATTCTTTACTTTTGCCGAATTCCCTAATTAAAACTTTAAATCTGAAATTAGCATATGTTCCACACGTGTCATCAAATAAGAACATCGCAGATGTGGCCTTGAAAGAACCCAGATGCTGTTTGAATGAACTAGACTTACACTGATTATTGTCGCCATATTTTATTTATTGATCTGAACAACCATAATCAGATAGAGAACAATTAATTTTAGTGGTTTCCTCTTCAAACCATTAAGGCATAATTATTTACATACAAGCCTCAGACGAGATGTCTCCTTCATAAAAGACGGAATTCAGTCTTCAAATCAGTAGTAGTGAAGAAAGCTTATAACTAGATAGTGAAACTATTAAAGCATGTTATTGATCAAATCTACAAAACATAACAATAGTTTGTTTGTTTATCCACCTATCTTAACTAATTTGTTAAACTTGATTGCGGAGAATAAACACACCCCTCTGTATGTGTGTTTGCATGTTTGTCTTACATGCTACAAACACACAGATTTTCATTCTAGAAACGGCTAGACCATTTCAAGGTTATCGAAATATTCTCTAAATTCTCATTGGTTAACTGACGGAAACAATGGTTTCTCTCATCCACACAAACAACTTATGGGCATCTGATTATTGTCAAATATTTTATTTATAAATTTAGGAGAATAAGACGGTTAGGATGAACATCCTAGATACTCTCGTGTGTTGGGTGATTGTGGCTGTATTATTACTTAGTCTGAATCTTATATGAAACCATGTGAACAGATTGCCTTCAGCGCGAGAATTATTGATTAGGTAAGGGGGGAGCTGTCTAGACTGAGTTATAGGGAATAGGCACATGTGGTGCGAAGGTGTCTGAGATATTTGATGGATGCTGACCAGAAGCAGAGTGCAGTAGGCTCATTTCGTCCTGTTTGGAGCTCTTCAGTTGGATGTACCTGCATTTCCCGTGGATTGTTGATATTCTCAAGCATCGGTTCAAACACCAAAGCATGCTGAATGAATACAATCACTCAGTGTAGATTGCAGTGTAGATCTGGCTAACGAGTCTCAAACAGGAGGAAATGGGCATCCTAGATTCCACTGCTGATCACCACCTGCCAAAAAGATATCACTCTAGTTCTTAGATATCGTCACCTAAACAAGTTGACTTTGGATTCAGTATTAGTGGAGTTTGTGTATGAGGAGGTTTGAGGGAATAGTCAAGAGTTACCTGTAAGGTGGTTATATTCTATGAGCTCGGTTGTTTAGTTGCATAGCTGTCGATGTGTGTGATGTGCAATGATGGCGTGCCTACAGTATAACTAAATTTTATAGTTGGTGACAGTGCGCATTCTAACTCTACGGTCACTAGCGCATAACACAAAGAGTAGGTAGTTGATTCAGAAACTCGAGTTTCTACCGCCTTGCCAATGGGTTGAAGCGCTGCTCACATCGACATGTTGCGATTAGTTGTCATAGTACAGGTGCGGCTCACTGTATAAGAAATGGTTTTTGAGTGTGTTAGTTTTAATAACCAAATCCAAATTTTCTCTTTTTATTATCGCCGAATGATTTACAGATGTCTAGAATTTGGGCAATTTGAAGTTGGATATGGAAAATTGAATGCATATATAATTTTGTAGAGAACTCACAATATATACTCTAAATAAATTTAAATGTATCATCATTTCGACATTTATGGAAGATACGTAGACGATACTCTCGTTATCTGCGATAATAACGTAATTCTTGATTATGTCATGTGTGCTGTCAACAACTGCAATCCTTCTTTACAATTCACCGTAGAGAAGGAATCTGAACTGAGTATTCCGCTTCTTGATGTGTGCCTTAGTACACATAATGATGGATCTCTCAAAAGATTCCTCCACCGGAAACGTCTATGGAAGGGACAACTAACTAATTTTGTAGGATTTTCGTCATGAGCTGACATTAGTTAGAGAACAGATCGAATCCCGGTGGGTGCGTATTGCTGATGAGTCCCAAACTAGGACGAAACAGCTGTCCAGTACTCCCAGGTTTTCCAATGGTTCTCTAACTAATGTGAGCTCATGATGAAAATCCTGTAACCAATCAAATCCCTACAAACCAACACTTGAACTAATTTTGTAGTTGGGTGCCTATCTCCAGCAAGAAACTAATTTATTCTCTCTGCTTTAGGCCAAGAAACATTTGCAGTTCTAATTGCATTGACTCAGAACCTGTCTTCCTGAAAGCCGCGCTTGCAGTAAAGGACTAGCCGAACCGATTTATTGACAAAACACGAAAGATAAGCAGTCCAAACTGGTCACTGACTCAGTTCTAAAGAAAACCTTATTCAAGAATTTGGAATTCTAAGATGATCAGACTGCAGGTATCCTCAAAAAGCGTCTCTCTTAATCACTCAGTAAGAAATTCTATGCGGTATAACTACAAATAGTATTGACCAACCGTATGCTGTTCTCCATCTCTGTAAAAGATAAGCTCTCACGTCCGACTGCTTCCGTGTGCATCTATCAGTTCACCTACTGTTATGGATCAAGGTACATTGGCCGCAGCCAGAGGACGCTTTCCACATGTATACAAGAATATATTTCAGCATGGTTTTACAAGGGAGAAAGGAAGTGTGTGATAAGCTCTATTCTAGAATACCTGATCGACCCCTGTCGCTCTACCAACACGTAACATGATTTCAAGATCATCCATTGAATTCATGCTAACTTGAAGACAGAGTTTTCTTCGTTCTAAACCTCTAAAGACAGTGGAAACCTTGACCATTCTTGAATTTAAGCTAAACAGACCTTTGTGTGTTTATTTAGTTAATCTATCATTACTACGATTATTATTATTATTACTATTTTTTTTCCTTCACGTTCCCCAGTGGAACAGTGGGCTTCAAGCTAATGGCTTTAAGTTTCTGTAGCAGTGTTTATTTTACAGGATGGGGTTGCTAGCCCAACCTTTCCTTTTCGCCAGCATTATTTCTGGCCTAGCAAGGTAAAGGAATGCGTCGGCCGGGGATCGAACCCCGGACCATTTGCATGGTTGGCGAGCGTCCTAACCGCTATGCCACCGACGCACTGTGCTCACTCTGAGTTGTTTCCACTTGCCCCACTTGTCATTCTAAATCCAAAATCATTATTTTTTGATTTTACCATACTGGATTCTGTCTTATCAAATTTCACACCATGTTATGTAACCTTTTATATAAGCATACGAATCCTATAATTATGCATCCATTTCTAGCATCTACACACCTTATGTATTGTTCTATATATGACACTAATTGTCTTGCTACTTGGCATTTAACTATGATTACAATCACAAATATTTTAATTGCATTTCATAATACTATCATTATTTGATGTATTCACATCTTTGATCTAGTTCCCTAACCGGATATAATTTCTTAAAAGCCACATATACATGATTGCACAGCATGATAATAAATTAATTGTTGGAGAGAGTCTTTTCACTGAATATGGTGTTCTTAACTGAAACCGCCTAATGAATGACGAAAGTCCAGAAAGTGTTTGAACCCTATTATGGATAAGATTTTGTCCTGATAAATCACACAGTGTTTGTTAAACAGCAATATTAACTTATGACGTTTCGAGCACAAACTATTGCTCATAATCATATCAAGTTACTCACACAACTTTTTTGACTAGATATTTAAATAAAAATCAATATAGGATAATGTACATTCAGAAAGAATAATCGGTTAATATTACTGTATAATACTATGTGATTTATCAAAATAAAATCTTATCCATAATGGAGATATGCTCTACCACAGTGCCCAAGTTTCATACTTATATCAATAATGTTTGAACCCAACTGGTTTTTGCGTTTCAACAGTTTACCATATCATCTTTGAAAATTAGAACTGATTATTACTTCTAATCTAAAGTAGAAATCAGTATCAACCAAGTATATGAATACATACGAAGTCGAAGAGAAGTGTTCAACTCAAAATTTGCCTACATTGAAGATAATTATCTCTGTATCATGGGATTGTAGATCTGAAGATGTTATTGGTTTTCAGTGCAGTGCTATGGTATCAGGTGGACGATTAGTTTTTAAGGAGTCATGCAAAATGCTTGACAGCTAGGCTCTTAGATTTGAGCAAATATTCAGCGTGACCTATTTCATCTTTACGCAAACAATGAAATGTCGAGAAAACTGAGATTATCTTGGTTGATAGATAATTTTACTTGTGATGGGTGAAATGAACTATGAGATATAGATTACGATCTAGGTCCAACGTGCGAACGTAATCTACGGTAGCTAAGATTCTAGAACAATAGCCATTATTTTCACATGAACTCATCCTTTGTGAAACATAATTTGTAACCAATCGTTGAAACGAAATTCAATATTCATCATGTGACCAGTCATCAGACAACCAATAGAATACCAGTGAATTTCAGCCAATACAAAATCAGATTAAACTTAATTTTAATTGGAAAATATTTTAGTTATGATGACCTGATTGGATTACCTGAGGCTATATAAACAAGGTAATCTATGCATATTGCGTGGATATTTCTCTGACCTTGTACTCTGTTGCCTAACTTCTCTTGTGACTTCTGGCTGGTATGTCAGGACAGCAAAAGCATCAGATAGTTAGCATTCCGGTCAATCGTGAACCAAGATCATTCGAGAAACAAAGACGTGATCTGTTAACAGGTTTAGAACGTGGAGGTAGTGGGAGTAGTCATTCTGGGAATTCGATCACACCATATCATGATGACTGGGCCGGCACAGTAGACCATTGGGTCAACTCAGCATGGAGAAGATGGGATGAAGATATGCGTCGATTGAGGAGAGGGATGTTTGCATTATTGGTGAGTCTAGTTATTCATAGTTTTGTTTTTCATAATTATTGCCACTCGACTAAGAATTAGAATGTTACTTCAGATTTCAGATTTATTGGTTGAGGATAGAAGGCTTGGAGCCCATGTTAATCCTTTTGTAGTAAATTTCTGTGGTTCTCCAAGACCTTCTTGGACCAATCAGTTGAGGTTTCAGACACCACTTCTTCTGGGAGTCGGTTCCAAGAGTTTATGACTGGTTGTGAGAACCAGTACTCAACAGCAATATGATTTCTTCTTGGCTTTTAAACTCTCCTGCTATGTCCTCTAAGGTGTTCTGAACTGGTGAGAAGGAAAAGAGAGAATAGGTCATGTCCGTAGTTATTTCAAATTTTAAACATTGTGATCCTTGCGGATGTCTCCAATTTTAGTTTACTGTACAATTAATAGATAGAGGTGGCTAGAACTGTTTTTCGAATATGTTACCTAAACAAGTTGGTTAATAAGATGCAATGATTTTGTATTTCAGCCAGTGGATCATTTTCCTCTATCAACTCATGATCCATTCGCTTTAATGCATCAAATGGAGCATCATATCCAAGATATTCGAGACAGAATGGGTACATTGGATGTCCCGTCTACTGCTTCAGCTAACGATTTCTTGAAAGATGCCTATGAAGTTGGTGAAGATGGGAAGGTGAGTTGATGTTACAGTGACGCCCAGGTTGTGTATTCGTGGGCGTTTGTCAGTTGGGTTGTGAATTAATGCGTGTTATTGTTTATTCGTGTTTAGGTACATTTTAAGGTGAGATTTGATGCGAAGGGCTTCGATCCAGAAGACATCAATGTAACATCGAGTGACAATCGTCTGACAGTGCATGCAAAGAAGGAGACGCAGAAAGATGGTGTAAAGTGCCACCGTGAGTTCTGTCGTATGGTTGAGCTTCCACGGAGCATTGACAACAATCATTTGAAATGCCGTCTCACAGATGTAAGTATTTTATCTAGGTGTGCTTTTTTTCTTGATATAGAAGATATAGCTTTGTGCATGTCACTGACAACTGATGGTCTTGTGATGTGTGATGTCTGTTTCAGGATGGTGTTTTGATGTTGGAAGCACCAGTGAAGGTTCCTGAATATCAGTCGCTGACACTGAATGAGTCTGGTCAGGTGGGTATTCGCCCGAAGTCAGACAGTCAGCTGCAAGCAGTTCCTTCTTCGAAGGCTCTTGTCGTGAAAGGTAAGACTTGCGATAGGATTTACATGTGTGAAGAGGTAATCAGAAAGCGATATCCCGTCACTTGAATTACTTGTCTAAAATGACATTTGAATGTGGATTTTTGTGCATACTCAGGTACTCATGGCCCAACGGTTTTGGATGATGGAGCCGGTGGAAAGCTTCTTCATGTCGAAGTTCCAGTGGATCCTGTCTACAAGCCTGAGGACTTATGTGTGAATGTGGATTCGGGTCGTGTTGTTGTCAGTGGACGTCATCACAAGGAGAAGAGAAGTGATCGTGGACAAGCGAGTTCATTGGCTGAGTTCAGCCAGTCATATGCAATTCCTGAAACGGTGGATCCACTGTCTGTGACCGCTCAATTGGTTGGGAAGACATTGGTGTTGGAAGCTCCATTGATGAAACACAATGCAATTACTCATTAGAAGAGTATGAATTGGTTTAAAACGACTCTAACAACTAATGTGACTCACTCATTGTGTCTGTTATTTGTACTCCAATACATATTCTTCATTAACTAATCTGACTTTTCTCTGTTGACGCGATTGACGATTTTACTTAACGCAACACTTGCATTTCAATAGAGTTTGTGGAGTGTGCTCTATCGATTGTATGAGGACTGGTGATATTAACTTCCTACGCTGAAGTCGATAGATGAGGTGATGTTGGAACAGTTTAGAAGTTGAGGACTTTAACTGACAATTAGCCACAATTCCGTTCTTGTTTTTTGTTGACGTTCATGTGCTGGCTGTTGCATTAGGGTTATTCATGTTTAACAGTATGTACATACGTCACGTCACATACGTCACTAGTGATTTGCTCTTAGTTGTTGTGTTGTGTAATGTCTTCCATCATTGCATAAGTAACGGGATGTGTATACGAGTCGACGACTGTGTATCGGTCTAGTTTCGTTAGAGTCAATGATTGTCAGTACTTACCCATAACGTATGATAGTCTAGTCTGTTATCGAGTAATGGGTGTGGGGAGGTTGACGTAATTGATACAGTTACTCGGATTTCGTTTCTGAAGATCAGAAACTCTGTGGTTGGCATAATGGAATTAGGGGTTTGAAATTTGATGAGGTAAGAATTGTTATTGAGTGAGAAGCAGAGTAGTCGAGTGTCCACATGACAAATTTGAAGTGTATGAGACAAAAACACTTAGTAAATGTACAAAAGGAGCATTCAAGAGTAATAATTGTGAATTAATCACTAAATATAGGAGCGGATGTGTTGGAAGGTGTTCAAGGCCGCTGTGGATTATAAGAGACGCAACAGAGCACAAGATTGTATTGACAAAATGCTACCGCCTCTGCCATACACGAATGTCGAAACCTAACACCTTTCGTACTATTCGGTCTCATCGTGTAGATGATTTGAAGAGATGACTGATGGAGCTGCGTGGTCTGAGTTCACTAGGTGTTCGAGAATCGAGCTAGCAATGCCTTGCATCATCGTCTCGACAAGCATGCTGGGTAGGGTTCAGAGATGCGTTTTGTGCGGCCAGTATAACTAGTTACAAAGGAGAAAGTGAATTTATAAATACACATTGAGGCAGTTTATCCTTCCCATATCCATTATTCATTTGGCAACTGTAGAAATTGATCTGTAGCTCAGACGAAAAGAAAGCATCTCTCAGCAATCTCGATAGGCGGTTCTTTAGAATCTTATCTGAGGAATCACCCTTAAATCCAACACTTATATAATGCAACTTAGTTGGCATCATGTTGATTCTTTTAGGCCACTGCTATACCTCCCATGTTTCTCTTCGTGAACTCTGTATGCCATTTGTCTGAGTCTCTCCAGCTCATCATCTATTATATCACAGGAACAAATCCTTCCTATTCGTGAAGAACGAGAAACGACTAGGTTTGTCTTTCTTTTCAGAGGGATTCAACTAGGAAAATTGGTGTATTTGCCATTTCTGTGTTGATTCTTACTGTAGGCTGATCTCTGTAAAGAACCGCGTTATCTCGTTATTAATAAAACATGCAGAAAATGGAATTCACAGTTCATCCCTGATTCCAGCTTGAACTTGATAGAATGGTGACAGTTGTAAGAGCTCCTTCGTTATCATTTCGATATCAGCACTTTTGTCAAATTGGAAAAGAGGGAATACCTTGCGCTTTAGTAGATGAATAATCCTTTACTTAATTTAAAAATATCTTAAATGTTCTTGTTTCTATCAAATGCATTTAACTGGAGAGTTACCGAATTCTGACGATTATATCTTCACTTTATTGGACATTGTGTATAAGAGAATTTTCTTATATAGAAATGGAAATACTCTCAATAAACATATCACATAGTCGTAACTTAATAATCTTACAATAGAAACGTAAATGAGTCATTAAAAATTATTGATTATTTATCGATCCACTATACGTTGATGTATAATAACTTTTCCAGACACTACGTAAATCAAACAATTTCAGACTGATATTCAGATTATAGGCATTTTGTAGGTATTTCGATCAATGTCTGCATGGATTTCGGTATAAAGCTCCATGATTTAGAGTACTATTGAAAACTAGGATCCACTGAACAGCTGTTTTGTCTACGTTTACCACGAATACAGAGGACTAGGTTCGCATATGCCAGTTTACGCCGTCTCTGGCGTAGACGTGATACTGACTATCGACCAAAGGGCGTGTGTACTGCTCAACAGTCCGCTCCGTCCTCCTTTATGGCTATGAGACCTGACCATTGAGAGCAGAAGACACGAAAAGACTAGCTGTGTTCGATCATAGGTGTCTGCGTCCTATCTCCCGTGTGAAGTGATATAATAAGGTGAGCAATATTGAGGTTAGGCGTCGAGTGCTAGGTAAGGCGGGGAAATCAGTCGACGAAACTGTGAAATTACATCGACTGAGATGGTTAGGACATGTGTTACGTATGCCTAGTCATCGCCTTCCTCGACGGGCAGTGTTAGTTGACATAGGGTCAGACTGGATAAGAGCTAGCGGCGGTCAAACCAAAACATGGCTTCATCAATCAATGAAATCCACAACAGTTAGCTTAAGCCACGTAGGAAGATGTAGACTTCCTGGTTGGGGTCGTCGGGACGGTAAAAACCAATGGTTGGAAACAATTGGTGACATGGCTCAAAATCGTTCTGAGTGGCGCAGGTGCATCCACTCCTTGTGACTTATAATTTTCAGTGAAACTGTTTTGCTCTCCGTTATTACTATTCCTTTGTCTCACACCTCTGTTTACTGACTATATTATGCATTTCTTCTAATTTCTTCTCTTGCTTCGTGTGATACATGGAGTGTGGCGACTTGAACTGCCGCACATATGTGCAAAGTTCTATGTTGAAAACCCACGGACCGACCGACGTTTACCACTACACAATTGACGAAATTACTCATTGTTAGTTTAACTTTATTCTCAAATAAAGTATAATTATATTTTAATAGTTTACACACAATGATAAGTTTTGTTATTGGTAATATTTCGAGCAAAATTACTCCCCGTGTTCACACCACTGTTGGAATTGTTTGATTCACACATTTATGATTTGTACTCATATATATAGTTCATTATTTTTGCTCATTCATATTTTTTTTTGTATTTGAGTTGTATTCCAAGTTCATTCATGTTTTTGTATCCAGAATTATATTCCAAGTTGTTGATAGTTGTACTGAGTCACCCTTGTTGCATGTATCCGGTGTGACTTTAATGAATATCGATTCTGTTATAAGTCTTTCTTCCCATTTGTTCATGTTAGTTTTTAGAATACACACATTGTTCCAATCGATATTGTGGCTTTTTTTCCCATGCATGTGTGGCTATCGATGAATTTTTTCAAGATTTTTATAAGCTTGTGTTCCTGTTGGTTGACCTTTGGTTAGGCGTTTATGTTCATTCACTCTTATTTTGAGTGATCTGGACGTTTGCCCCACATATTTAGTCGGACAGTCAGCACAAGATATTTTGTAAATCAAGTTGTTTTTATCCATCATTTTTATGGGATCTTTCAGTTGATTTATTTTATTTTTGATTAGATTTGTCGGTTTAAAAGTTGTGTGAATGCCGATACTTTTGAGGTTTCTTTGAATTGCCTCTGATGTACTATTTTTATATGGTATTGAGACTGTTTTTTTTTGCATTCTCCCATCTTGTTATTCTCCGGTTTTACCCTCTTTTTTTTCTTTTTTATATTATCTTTTATAAATTGTTTTGGGTAGTTGTTTTCGAGTAGCATCTTGAATAGGACGTTTATTTCTTTACACTGGTCCTCTTGCGTTGTTGTAAGTCTACGTATTCTATCTGCAAGACCTTGTATTAATCCTCGTTTCACAGTGAGTGGATGAGCTGAGTGATAATCGAGGAATCTTCCAGAGTGTGTGGTTTTTCTATATAGCGTTGTTTTAATGCTGCCATCTGTTATTCTTTGTATTTTGCAATCTAACATAGGCAGTTCCCCAATTTCGTTCTCTACTTCCATGGTGAATTTTATTGAGTCGATATGGCTGTTTATGTGTGAGAAGAGTTTCACAATATCGTTCTTTTTCACTATTACTAGTGTGTCGTCTACATATCTCCACCAACATTTTAGTGATGACCTGAATGGTTTAAGGGCATTCTCTTCCCAATAATCCATGAATATGTCAGTTATTATTGGTGAGATAGGCGATCCCATGGCTACTCCTTCATTTTGTTGGTATATTTTCCCTTCGAATGTGAAATATGTTGTTGTCAGACAAAATTCCACCCCTTTTATTATCTCTTCTATGGATAACTGTGTTCTATCTTTTAGGCCATTATCTTCTTTTAGTTTCTCTTTCAGTGCATTCATGGCCATTTGAATGGGTATTTTCGTATAGAGACTGTTTACATCAAAGCTGACTAGTATTTCATCTTCCTCTATTTTAGTGGTTTTTAGTCGCTCCACTAATTCAAATGAATCTATTATTCTAGCTTGTGAGTTGTCTCTTGTTGGTCTTAGTATTGTCGAGAGAAATCTTGATAGCATATACGTCGGTGTTTTTCTAAAATCTACAATCGGCCTTATTGGATATCCTTCTTTATGCAATTTTATCTTGCCATATATTCTAGGTATATTGCATGATTTTGGCATAATTTCAAACCATTTTGACTTACCAATTATTTCCTTCATTTGTCTGACTACCTTTGCTGTTTCTTTCATTGTTTTGTTTGTGATTGTTTCAGCTGACTTCGTCATTAGGGTATAGGGTCCAGACTGTAGATGTTCATTCATTTTTTCATTATATGTCGTTTTATTAAGCATTACCGTTGTGTTTCCTTTGTCTGCTTGAGTAATGACAATGGATTTGTCTGCTTTTATGTCTTGGAGTGCTTTTAGTTCCTCCTTCGTTACATTCAGTTTTTCTGCTTTTTGCTTTTTTAAGGTTAATGCACATTGTGCTCGTACCAGTTCTGCTTTTTGCTTGTCATGTCCTTCGAGTGCTGTTTCAATTACAGGTATAATATCTTCAGGTTTTAATCTTTTGTTGCTAATGTTGAAGTTCATTCCTTTCATCAGTACGCT